ATGCATTTACACTTCAAGAGATAATCACTGAGTTGTTTACAACAACCAAATTTAGATTAGATAGAAGTCATTTAAGTATTTCACTTTTAGTTATAGTCAAATGAAGCCACCATTTCTATGGTAACCCTATTTTACATTTCATCTCAATTAAACAGAACTATACAGTTAAGAATGGTTTGACATTCTGACAGGGTGATCAGAGCAATTAAAAATAGGGCATTTCTCTAAGAACAACAAAAATACATTCACAGCACTTTCAAAATGCTCTAGATATAAAATCTAGCAACAATAGAGGAACCCATAAATATACCTCAAAGTTGCTGTCATTCATGTTTACTGAGCTTTTGGACACAATAGAATGTGGCACTCAAAAATCATTGAAATTAAGTTCTCTCTCCTCAGATATAAGAATTAAAAGAACAAAGGCACGGACTCCAAACATTTGCCAGGTACGTGTAAATGAGGACATGTTGACATGTTATGCGTGTCACACTTTAGTCCCATAGAAGCTAAGAATTAAACAACTTTCTTATCTACGAAAACAGGAAACAAATATTTAACACTACAGATTGCACAAAAACCCAGACCGATAAAACATATTGATTCAGAAATCTTTAGCCAAATTTCTTTTCATTCATGGAGTAAAATACAAAGTCCAAATGTTTTGATTTAAAGTAACAGCTACACTGAAAATTTAGATTTTCAATACGAATTTTAGAGAGCATCTCACAAACAGCTCTCATAATAAATCTACAGATAAAGCAAATAGAGGAGCATCAAAATGAACCCATATTAAGTTGCCATCAGCTCTCATCCAAGTTAGGTCAAATGTTGTTGGTCGGCTTAAATTAAGTACTTAGCTTTACAGCATTAATCATAGCATATCACAATAAATAAAAATACAATATAATTAACATCAGTCCTCTTATAGCTCATCTTTTGTTTGGGAATGTGAAGTATTAGAATCAGTTCCAATTTGGTTGGTTTCAATAGTATTGTTTAAACTGCGAAGTTTCTCATTAACATCATTTAAGTCAACATTCAACTTCAATATTTCTTCCATACCTACTGTTTTAGGTGATGCAAGTTGACTTTGAATGTCTTGTAATTGTAGGAATGCTTCACGAATTTGCTTCAGGGTATCCCTGACTACAGTCAGTCTATTGTGACCATAGGCTGGAAATGAAACGGACATGAGAGTTGATGTCGCATGCCTGAAGAAACGTAGGCGTGCAGCAAGTTGTCTTTGCAAAGATCTTCTTAGGGCTTGACTTGATTCATTGTTTGGACCCTCTCCAAAGTTAACAACAAGATATCTATACTTGTTGACTAGTTGACTAGCTGATTGAAGCACCTCTATCTTTACCTGGGTCATACATTTTTCCACACTCAGTTGGTCCTGAAACATTAAATTAGAGAATTAAGTAATATTGTAGAAAGTGGATCATTCTCTAACACAAAACTGACTCACCTGAAAAGACAGAGGTTGACGTTTTGCTCCTTTTTCACACACAACCAACAAGGCCCATACTCTTTCTTCTGGAGTCAAATTTGAAAGTATGAATTGTACTAGGTTTTGGACAGTGATTTCAGTACTTGCAGGAAAAATGTAACTATCAGACTTCCTGCAAATTTTAAAAGTAGGTAAAATATTTCTTAGGCAGTCTGATAAAAATGCCTATAAGAGTTTTAAAAATTCAGGAACTTACAAACGTGATGGGAAGAAAAGTATACTAGGAAAACGATGTACTGTAAACTCCCAGGGTAGATCATTGTTGTCTCCATCTATTCGTGCAAATTTCAATGTGCTCACTGATTTGAGTGTATGAGCAACTGTCAAAAAGACATGAGATACTGCACTACAAAATGCACAATATGGAGTGTAGTAAAGCAGGACTACATTCTATAAGGAGGCACAAAAAGAAGGTAAGAGGATACAGAAATTAAAAGAAAGCTAGTGGTAAACCATACAAACAAAACTCGCAAAAGAGATAAAAATACCAATAAAATCACATTTTGTAATTAAGGCTTACCTTTTTATTTTCTAGCACTTTTGATTTAAAATTAGAAAAGTTCAGCTCCTCTACACAAACTACATTTTCTTTGCATTCATCAGGATTACGAGCATTATAGCGAGATAGATGTATGGTTTGTGTTGGCCCTAAAGTAAAATCATGTGCTCTGGGCTGTGTATTAGCAGTGCGATGCCATCTTGGCAATTTATCAGATACGTAATCTTTTATGAAATTTGTTAATGTTACTTTATTAATTTCACCTTGGAGAAGATACTGTGTTTCAGCCTGGAATAAATTACATTAATTACAATATGATTGTTTCCAATAAATGACAGGCATTAATTACAATATGATTGTTTCCAATAAATGACAGGCATTTACTCTGTAAACCAAAGACAGGTTTCCTCACCTGTGGATCCACAATTAAGACTGCACTTTTGTCTTTGCGGTGCAATACGTCCACTCCTAATCGTTCAGCAAAGTGGTGCAGTTGTAGGGAGTCAAAGGCAAGAAAAGAAAGTGTTTTATTTCCTGAGCATCTAAGTCCTTTGATACCTTGATCCCCTTCCTCCTACAATGAAAGAAGAATGTGCCAGTGGTAGGTCAAAAACTGAATATACAAAATGTACGTCTGAATTTAAAATAGGTATGTTACCAGTTCCTTTTCAACAGGAAAATATGGTTTGTCAAGAAGTCTTGCATGACGCAGCTGACGACAACGCTCTAATTTTACCCACTGTTGCAGTTCCTCAGACCACAAATGGTCACCCAACCCAGTCATCTGTGAGGTCAACCTTTAAAAGACAAAAAGAGCAGATATGGGTCCATTTTTCCTTTCAAGCATAAAGACAATCCAGTCTTTGCAATATTATCATATAATTAACATACCCATTGAACATAGCACTGTTGATTTTCTGCAAGCGAGAAAAATCATGGCGCTGTGATACAGGTGACTGCTTTTTGACTATACCTAAATAATTAAAGAACCTGCGGAACATAGGTTCTTCCTCAATGGTTGCATCTACAAAACATAGAAACAAACATTTATCACTTAAAGGTATTAAAAAATGGATATGTACGTGATATGGATCTAATAAGAGAGAAGCTAATTACAATTACCTTGCATTGGAACATCTGCTCCATAATCTAAAAGGCCACAATAACCATAGTCAAATCCACCTCTAGGAGGTACCAAAGGTTTCTCTTTGTTATTCAAACAGATTCTGCTGATATTGCCATAAGTAGCCGCAGAGTCCAACTGACCATGTTTCATTGAAAAAACTTGTGTCACACCAGCTCGTTCATTAATATCTCTTGCCCAGGATGCACATGATTGTAGAAGTTTTCTGTAATGATGTTGAATCCCTGGAAACATTTCCATTATGGATTACAAAATTGTAAATTCAAGCTACCACAAAGGAGACAGAAACTTATACAGCAAGTAACTATAGTACATAACTTACTTGGCCTTACTATTTGAGCAGCATCAGTTAGCTCGTTTACCCACTCATTGTCATCACAGTTATAAAAGGAGAATGCCACTTCCCGTAACTAAAACAAAAGTGTAAGTAAAGATGTGAAGTTGTAAATTGGCATACTCAGTATGTTTTATTTGGTGTTTTTTTTTTTTTTTTGGATGGCCATCTTACCAAGTTATAGTAGTACACGTGGCGAAGTAATGGATTTCGAGGCGTAAACAACACCAAAACTGGTCCACTTTTGAGGTATGAAGACAATGTAAGAGACTTAACCCCAGGGGGTTGGACCCAAGCAGTTGCTTGTTGAAGTACTTTAACAATCCACTGAGTTATGGAATCAGAAGACCAAGACTCAATAGAAGTATTCTGTAAGAATGGCAAAAAAAAAAAAATGAAAAACATTGAAGGAAATAATGTATACATTTTTAAATTTGAAAAAAAAAAAAAACCATGTAAAAGTGGTACTTACAAAGGTTAATGTTTCATTCCACAAAAATATTTGGATGAGTGCTGCATCAGGCACTTCTCCAAATTCACTTCCATCTGGGTTCAAAGCTACAGTGAATGCTATATCATTTAACTGGTCTTGATCAGAAAATTTTCGAGCTGCTTCAAAATAAATATTATATGCTAATGACGCATCATCTTTATAGTCTCGGAAGTTCAAATTACACAACACTACAGCCTGAGAAAAAAGATTTTCATGAATTGTGTAAGGTTTTGTTTGGTAGGGCTAAGCAAAATAATAATAATTATGGCATACAAATTTTCTTACATCATGCTCAGTGAGTTTATAGGCCAAATCAGTCTGGTTGTGGATTATACTGACAGGTCTGAGGGCAGTCTTAAGAAAACGGATTATGTGGGAAACTTCACGCACTCCACGATATTGTTGACCTCCAGATCTTTGAGGTGTTAAAACTAACAGAGGGAATGTGTAGATTTTGTTGTTTTGGCGGCATTCACTTCCTGGTTGCCAACAATTAATAGCAGCAAAATATATCTATAACATAAAATGTAAATTGAGACAATCTTTCACAAAACATAAATAATGTTGATCAGATTGTGTTGGTAAAATCAAAATCACCTCTTTATGAAAATAGCGAGCTGCAGCTTCAAAATGCCATCGTACTCTTTGTGATTCTGCATCCCAGGGGGCATAATACATAACAAATGACATTTCGGAAAGAAGCATTTTTTCTAGTGCTGTTTTTAATTCACCAGTATAGAAATCATCCACAACAGTACTTGGCCTCAAAAAAGGCACTGGTGTGGGGACATTGGATACCTTTGGCGGTCTAAGGAATAAAGTCAAATTTAATTAAGAATCAAACACCCAAAACAAACACTTCGACAAGTCGTGGTAGAGTAACTAGTGTCAGCTATCAATCAGCTGCTCTAGTTCGAATTCTGAGAAAAAACACTCCGACTTACGGACTGTGAAGTGCAGCATAGCATGTTAATGTAATTGCTAAAAGAAAACAAAGTTCTTTTCCGTGATGATACATTGTTTTCTTCCAATGAGTATCATGTGCACTATTATGAGATGTGTCTCCGTCCCTGTCTTGGGACAACATAACCATCGTCATTCCAAAGAGGAGAAAGCCACGTCATAGGTGAGCTTGAGATGCATAAAGAAAGATAGATCCTCAGAGATTAGAGAGTGGATCCTTATCATGAATACTGAACGAAAGACAATTAATCAGTGCACCAAGAGTGCACATCAAAAAAACCGACAGACTGACAAGCAGAAGGTTTCGACAAGATGCCAGCTGGCGAACGTTAATAGTTATTCGCAGGTTGGACCATGTATTTCCACTACTGTATTCACCGATCGCCTGAAAATGACCATAGAGTAAATCATAACGCCCGATTCCTTCTGTTTCATCATGACTTTCCCCCTCCCTACCTCTTTTGATCTATGCTCTAATTTTCGAAACGTTGCGTTAGCATGTGGTCATGTTGATGCCCCTGCCTTGAGCCTATTGGCAGGTCAGCGCGAAAGGCGCCAAGCCCGACATAATTTTGATTTGCGGCGCGCTCTATGCAGAAACAGGACTGCCGGGAAAGGCGCAAGTATGGGAGACGGGCATGGTCGATGGAATCGGGAAGTTGCGCCGCGGCGACGACGGCCCTGTCCTGCGCGCATCGGTAGCGCGACCAAACTGTTGAACTGGCCGGTCCAGTCGGCCGGGCCCCATCTGAGCGAATCGAATCGGTAATGTGATGCGCCGGAAAGGCCCCCGGGACGAGTCGTTGAGTCGAGATGTCCATGGGCTGTCGGGCTGTCATCGCGGAGGGACTCAAAAGGGATGAGCGGCGGGGCAGCAGGGGGATATTCAGTGGAGAGGAAATAAAAATACGGCGGGCAGGGAAGGCAAGTTGGGTCCCTGATGGATTTGGGGATGGAGGAGGGATGTGAGGTAGGAACCCCTAGGGACTACTTTGGATCCATCAAAATCCCTAGGGAGTCATTATGGAATCCCTGGGGAGTCCTTCCCATATTTGTGACGCCCTACGCAAGTCCCTAGGGTTTCCTTATCCTCAAGGATGTTCAAGGAAACGCCATCCCTGAGGAGTCCTAAGGGCTTCTTGTCCTAGAACCATCCCTGTGCATTCCCCAAGGGGTCCCTAAAGAGGCCACCTTTAGGGCCTCCTTTCCATCGATGTCCCTCTCAAATCCTTAGGGATTTGTCATCCCTGTACCATCCCTAGGGATCCACCGGGGTCCCACTAGACTTTCGGTCTATCCTTTCCTAATTCTGT